AGAAACTGCCTTGGTTGCCTTATGCAGTTTGCCTAGATGCAATAAAGTTTAATACAAACAGTCAATTTCAACAAGTATATGTTGGTTGAATACTGCAAATCAGTTGCATAACCAGCCCTTGGCTTAGGCTATTACCAGAAAATTTGCAGTGGGCAGGATTTCCAGGGAAAGGGAAGGGAGTATTTGGTAAAAGAGCTAAACCCTAAATACAAGCAGCAAATAATAATTTAAATTATGGCTGTTATTTCATAACTTTAATAAAGTTTTCTTTTAATACTTGAAGTGCCAGTTGTTTGCCATTTATTCCATAGTGTTTGCACTCATTGGTTAGAGCATTTTAAGCCAGAAAAAAAGCTTCTTAATTGTTAACCAATAGGAGCATACAATGCTGCTGTCTATCAGGCCTGATTATTCCTTTAGTCCAGTATTGTCTGCTCACCTGTTACCTAATCCACTGGAGAGGTGAAGAATTGAACCTGGCACCTTCTGCATATAAAGCATATTCTCTACCGCTGAGCTATGCTCCCTCTCAATAACAATTGGGTAGCATAATTGGCTTAATGCTTTTTTATATCCCTGGAAGTTCAAACACTAGGGTCATTCCTTGTTAAATAGCAGATGAACATTCAATAAAGGAGTTTAAAACAGGTCTGCAAAACCTGTGATCCACCAACTCCTTGCCTCCCACTTCATCCGCTATGTTTGGCAGGCAAACAAGAGATTAATAGACCTTATGTTTTTTCTGCCTGTCTGGGATTGCAAAGAAGAAGAAAAAAGGTCCAATAGTCCCCCACAATACATGGATGGTGGGCTGCAGTAGGGTTGCCATATCACAAATTGAGTGCAGATTTGTTATATAATATCCATAGGTCCTTGCATCATAGGCAAATACATTTCTGTTATCCCAGGTTTTTTAATCTGTTTGGGTGATATTCAATAATGGTGAAAATTTATGTAAATAGGACTTACTCTTCCTTTCCCCCCCTTCTATAACTGCAGGTACACAACCTAAATCTGCTGTGGAGAGTTGAGGGATCCTTCAGAGCAGAGATTGAGCTTGTGGCTATACTGATATGTTGTCTTCTAGCCTTTTATTTTTGTGACTCATGCTGGAAGAAAGCAGGCAAAAATATTTTTCATCTCCCGGGGTTCATTGCCAGGGGCAGACTTGCTTTACTAGCTCGCTGCTGGCTGAAATGCAGCCGGCTGTCAGCCAATGTTGCTTTCATTCAGATGCTGGGAGTCTTTATTAATAAATACCTTCCCACCAACATCTAACAACATCATTCAGAAAACAGGATGAGCTGAAGCAGGGATGGGGAACTTCTGGCTAGCAGACTCGTTGTAACTCTGGTGCTGGGATTCTCCCAAGGTTACATCCCCTGTCCCAGGACGTGCCTTCATGTGCTTCATGTCCTTGTGTTCAGGGAATGTGTCATGCTGAGAGGTACCTGTATGTGAGGAGCACATGGGAAGGAAAACTCTGAACCTAAACCTCCAACTGCCTTGTGGGATATCTTTGGGAGAAGAAAAGACTAAAGAGTAAACCCTACACAAATTCGGAGTGGAGTCCTTAAGATGGTTGGATGGTGTGTTGTTCCTTCTGGAACTCCTGCAGCCAAGCTGGTGCCAAACATATGGCTCTGCTTTCCTTTGGACTACATCAGCGAGGCTGAGAGTCGGATCTTATCATCTGGGCAGCACAGGACCTCCGTACACACTGCCCAGGTTTGTTCCCTGGGGAGGTCATTTGGTGCTGCTAACGCAGCGGTTTGACTTCACCCCTGGAAGCATGCTATTGCCAGCAAAAATATTTCAATGATTGCTGCATTTTACAACATATCTTTCCCCTTACATATTTAAATGGAGACATTTGATTTTATGACAATTTCCCCTATTATCATTAGCATTCATCTTTAAGCTTAGATTAAATGTGCGGGGAAAGGTGAGGAAGATGACTGATTTTACTCTTTATAATCCTAGTTCTTGTGCCACACTGTCCTATATTCTGTAACCACACAGCTCTGTACGGTGCTGCAGAGAAGAATCACTGTTCTAAATTGCAATTAGACTGGATATTTCTCATTCTTCCTTCCACTCTTTCCAAAATAATACAACACCACACAAACTTTTCTGCTGGTATATATTTGGGGAGGGGGGGGGGACACTGTACACTGAGAGCCAGTGTGGTGTAGTGGTTAAGAGCGGTAGATTCGTAATCTGGGGAACCGGGTTCGTGTCTCCGCTCCTCCACATGCAGCTGCTGGGTGACCTTGGGTTAGTCACACTTCTCTGAAGTCTCTCAGCCCCACTCACCTCACAGAGTGTTTGTTGTGGGGTAGGAAGGGAAAGGAAAATGTTAGCCGCTTTGAGACTCCTTTGGGTAGTGATAAGCGGGATATCAAATCCAAACTCCTCTTCCTCCTCCTCCTCTTCTTCTTTTTTAGAATATTAAATACATTGGAAAGACAGACAGAAATGAAATTTTGATGTACGCACACTACAGTAATTTACATTACTTCAGAGAAGAGGCCAGCTGCCAAACTTCCTGCACTTACTTTGAAAATAGTTCTAGACAAGGACCTGTTTAAAGAAGACAATGTAATGACTGATGTGCTGAGGCATGATTGATATACGTTGAAAAGATGTGTCAGAATTCTAACATTTAAAAAGTGCCTTATCTTAAAAATGTAGAAAAGCAAACAGAACAAGCGGGGTTTTTTTTAAAGGAAATTAGCAGTCAAAATAGATCGTTGAAACCATGTTATAAATAGCAAAGATAAAAATAAGTAGGATTTCGCTGTTATTTCAAATAATTTTGCTGTTACTTGTAAGTGGCTGTTAGAGCTGTTAGAGCACTGTTAGAGGACTGAGTTTTAAGTCATAAATCATGATGAGGCCCTGCCTGTGATTTCAGAGGTGGCAAGGTAAAAGGTAAAGGTACCCCTGCCCGTACGGGCCAGTCTGACAGACTCTAGGGTTGTGTGCTCATCTCACTCTATAGGCCGGGAGCCAGCGCTGTCCGCAGACACTTCCGGGTCACGTGGCCAGCGTGACAAGCTGCATCTGGCGAGCCAGCGCAGCACACGGAACGCCGTTTACCTTCCCGCTGGTAGCGGTCCCTATTTATCTACTTGCACCCGGGGGTGCTTTCGAACTGCTAGGTTGGCAGGCGCTGGACCGAACGACGGAGCGCACCCCGCCGCGGGGATTCGACCGCCGACCATGCAATCGGCAAGTCCTAGGCACTGAGGTTTTACCCACAGCGCCACCCGCGTCCCTACAGAGGTGGCAATATTGTATATAATAAGGAAGTTGTATACCTGGCTGACGACACACACATTTGCCTTCCCAGGTTTATCATCTGTGTTTTTATTTTCTGCCATCATTACTTACAGACTTTCAGTGATCATTTCCCATTATATACTGGAAACAACATTCATATCAATAGCCCATTTGCTATTAGCCCCAGTGGCTGCATGCTAAAGCATGACTGGATACAGTGCAGCAGCAGCAGCACACTTACACCACTATGTGGCAGAATTGTGCATATTTAGACAATGGCCCAGTTTGCATGCCACCTTCAACCACAGTTAATTTAAAGAATGAACAGTGTGCTCGCACACACTGTTCAGAAGTTTGTGCTTCACTCCTTCCCCGCACCTGCCTGTTGCCTTCCTGGGGGAGAAGCAAGCCAAATAGGTTACGTGCAGGTATGGGCTCATGGTTTGTGTCCCACAAACAAACCACGATCAGTAAACCAAAAACAAACCTTAGGTTCCACTTGTGGTTTGCTTGGAGAGAAACAAACCAGTAGTCTGGTTTTACACTGTGTCCTTTCTGGTGCAGAAGCAGCAGGACTGGGGGTAGAGTGAAGCGCAGACATGAGCAGTGTGCAGCAGTGAGTGCATTGTTTGCTCGCATTAAACAATCATTTGTCTTACTTGTAGCTTAATGCGCAAACTAGGCAGAAAGT